CAAGGGTGAGGGGAAGAGGCTGGATGGAGGGCGTCAGGGAGAGATCCCCAAGAGGCTTTTGAGAGCTGGACTTACCCAGTTGATGAGGAGAGTCGAGTGGAAGAAGCTGGATAGAGGGCTGCAGAGCCCTCAGCTCTTTTATACATGTCCCAGTGTGCCTGGGGCATGGGTCAGGGGGGCGGTGGTGGAAAACATAGGCAGTAAAACAATTGGATAATCTTCATGACACAGTTAGTGATGTGAGGCAATTATATCGCTCTTCAGTGGGACATAGGCATGCAAACATGCCCTGAAAAAGAGCACTTTGCATCACGTTGTGCAGCCATCACGCCTGTTATTACCACCCTTTTACAAGCTGGTAAACAGAGGCACCAGGATGTTGGGAAAGGGGAGAAGGCATTCCAGACTCTGAGGCTGATTTCCAAATGCCCACCATCTCCCAATGCATCTGAGGGCTCTTAGGGACAACTTGTCAGGAGGATCCCTAAGCCTTGAGCCTCTCCATGCCCCTGCTTGACCAGGTGTGTTTGTGGTGTCTCCAATGGACACTGGAGAATCAGGGACACTCTTGTACGTGTTAGGTGAAGACCCATATAAGTGGGGCTCAAGGCTGACAAGGGTGGCGAGCACTGAGAATAGGTGACAGGGTCATGTGTGGTGGAGAGACGTGAACAGAGGAACTGTAGGGCAGGAAGGGGACCTGGACACTCTCAGAATCCTTAGCCATGTGCCCATGAGTACGGTCCTTGATTTCTCATCTGGGCCTTGAGGGATGTGCCAGGAGAACTTGGTTAAGCACCCCCAGAGAGCCAGGCTGCACATGGCCAAGCTTCCCTCAGGCACGAGCATGCTGATTACTGCTAGAACATGGCATGCAGCTTGGCTGCTGTGAAGCGTGCCATGGTTGCGTATGGCAATCTTCTGCAAGATGCCCAGGATTCTCCTGTGTAAGCAGAGTGAGGGATTAGGGAAACATTGGGGTTTATTGGCGCTGTGAGTTCAGATACAGAAGCCCTTGCCTTTCATGTAATGATGTGACATAGTCCATCCCTCCCATCACACCTTTCATCTGCAGGACATGCCAATGTCCCCAGTGAGGAGGCATATAATTATCTCACATCACTATCTGTGTCATGAATCTTGTCCGCTGGCTTTCTGCCACCACCACTTGGTGAATGCCCCAGGCACTCTGGGACATGTATAAAAGAGCTGAGGGCTCTGCAGCCCTCTATCCAGCTTCTTCCACTTGACTTTCCTCATCAACTGGGTAAGTCCAGCTCTCAGAAGCCTCTTGGGGATCTCTCTCTGACACCCTCCATACAGCCTCTTCCCCTCACCCTTGCCTGATTCCTAATCCTTGGTGCATCTTCCAGGAATCCTTGCCTGCCTGAAAGATGTCTTGCTCCAGCCTGTGCGCCCCTTCCTGTGGGGTGGCTGCCCCGTGTCCGCTGGCTGACACCGTCAACGAGCCCTGCGTGCGGCAGTGCCCCGACTCCACGGTGGTGATCCAGGTGATCCAGCCCCCGGCCTCGGGGGTCACCATCCCTGGGCCCATCCTCAGCAACTTCCCCCAGCACAGTGTTGTTGGCTCGGCTGGAGCCCCTGTTGTTGGAGGGGGCTATGGCGGCACTTTTGGAGGCCATGGTGGTTATGGAGGCTTTGGTGGCTATAGAGGCTATGGAGGTTATGGTGGTTATGGAGGCTATGGTGGCCTTGGGGGTTATGGCAGCTATTGGGGCTATGGAGGCCTTGGTGGCTGTGGTGGCTATGGAGGCTTTGGGGGATATGGAGGTTATGGAGGCTACGGGAGCTATGGAGGCTTTGGAGGATGTGGCTATGGCGGCTGGGGCCGAGGCCGCAGATACTTCAGTGGCAACTGCTGGCCCTGCTAAAGCCAATACTGAGTCCAGCCACAGATGAAGGAGGGCTCTGTAAAAACACCTGGCACATCCCGACATGACGGTCTGTGGAAGGACATACCTTTGGCATTGCTGGGATCCACAGCTTGGATTATTCACGACTTCTAAGGGTTAAACTCTGCCTTCATCCTGCCTTGCTTGAGCATTCCTTCCAGATCTGATGCCCCTTGATGATGGAGATGCGTACTGGGTGCCTGCTGTGCCAGAAGGAAAGTGAAAGCCCTGGACAGGACTCTGCTCTTCTCGCAAATCCCTCCTCTCCCAAACTGCAATAAAAGCTCTCTTGCATCGCAATGTTGACCCTTGGTTTTTCTTTATCCTTCCTTCTTCTTCCCCCAGACCTCAGGGCATGTCAGTCTGAGCTGTTTGAATCTCCCACGGTGCTTTGCCCTTGGAACACTGGGGCAGTTTGCTCAGTGTGTTACAACTGATGATGACAGTCCCAGCTGGGTCTTGGAGAGCACATCCCACTGAGGTCCCTCTGGCCCCCACTAACAATGAAGACAAACATTCCCAAAGACCTCTTTGAACACATGAAAGTGCCAAAGGTGTCCTGCAAAAGTTCTTCCAAATCCTCTGCTAAACCAACATGCCTGGCTTTACCTCCTCTTATTGGTTTGTTATTGGTCACATGTCCCTGTGCCATGGTAGATGGGACACACACACACACATTGGAAAGGGGTGAGTTAGACACAGCCAGGTCTTCTGTGAAAAGAGAGGAAGGGAAAAAAGGCAGCAAAACAACCAGAGCAGCCATTTGTTTTTTCCGCTATGGGAACTGATATTTGCATATCTTCTATCCCCCCCTGAGGAGGTTTCAAACAGCCTCTGTCCTTATCAGCAAAGATCCCCCTGAATTGACTCACATGTATCCACCAGATTCTGGATCATGTGGTGTCCCTTGTGTGTCTGCTGTGGGCATATTTTAAATTCTGTCATGGCTGTTTGGGCTGGGTGCTTTGCAGAGGTGTGCCAGCGTGAGCTACTCTGTGGGCTGTTCTGCAAGGAAGAGCTCCATAAGGCAGCTAAGTCTGGTCCAGAGTGTTGGGCTGTTGGAAGCTCTCCTGTTGTACCTGGGCAGAGCCATGTCCCCAGGCAGTTGGTGGGACACAAAATGAATGCCCTGAGGAACTTCTGCTCCAGGGGCAAGTGTAAGATGGAGCCATAAATGCTGCAAGAAGGAGTGGAATAGAGAGGAATAACAGGAGGAAGGTGAGGAGGGCTGCAATAATGGGGTGGGAGAGGGAGTCAAGGCATTTGTGAAGGTGCTAGGGGTTGGTCACCCTCTCCCTTGTAACTCAGGGCATCCCGAGTGGCTCTGAGCTGTGCCTGTGACATTGGAGTGGCTCTCCTGGTGTTCCGATCTCCAAGTCTGGGGGTGCCAGCAGCCTTAGGAGAATGGCCACGGCTGGCAGCAACCTCACTGCTGGTCCAAACAGGTTTTATTGGGTGCAGGAGCCCAAAGTGGGAGGGGAGACAGGAAGGTAAAAGGAAGAAGTTGTTAGTAAAGGAGATGAGCATGGC